AAGGGCAGGCTTCTGGACATCAGCTTGAGATAGAGAAAGTGAAAGGCATTGTTCAGGTTGGCGATGGTCGGCTGTTTAAAATGGATGTCGATTATACCAGTCAAGTCGATGAGGCTATACCAAAAGCGAATGCTATTGCAGCGGTGAGTACTTGGAAAGTATATTGATTCCCTGCAGTAAAATCCTTCTCAAGTATCGTTTTACACGCTTCTGACTTCTAGAAAGGAGACGTAGCTGGTGCCCTGGACTCTTTGGCCAATCTTGAAAAGCTGTCGCGTCTCGGTTCCGATATGAAAAGCAACACGAGAATTGTTCAACATATGGTGTGGTTTCGAATGTTTCTTACTGCTCAACCGATTTCTTTTGGAATTCCTGCTCTACTTTCAGGTGAAACTATGCTTTGATGGCAAGAAGTGGGATCTTTTGAACGACACAATACTTACCTTATCCAAAAAGCGCCTGATCATCAAGGTGGCAATCGCTAAAATGGTATGAAATGATCAATATTTCAAGTGCTTGGTGACTCTCGTTTACATGTCGCCCGAAAAAAGAGGTTTTCTTTGCGTAAAAAGCAAATTTCCACAGCCACATGAGGTTCCACTTTCGCAAGCCGTAAGCAGTCTGCCCACCCCTAGTTCCAGTGAACCATGAGCGGGCGGCTGCTGCGTGAGTTCCTAGCGATTTAGTCATCCCTATTAATACGTCTGTGGCCTTCACCCACGGCTATTTGTCGCCGAGGGTCTCTGCGTCTCTATTCATCGCCCATCATCGATCCACTTGTTGATGATTTCACCTGCACATTTCTTCAGTGGTAGTTCACTGGGCACCTAATTAGAATATTGCTCAGAACAGTTGGTAAAAGGAAAAAAAGTGCGGGATTTCAAAATGGACTTACCGAGAGTCCCCGGAGATGCGTGTTCCAAAACGAAATCATGGGTTAAGGGTTCAAATGTATGACGTTTGTGACGACATGAAAGTGCATAGAATTGATGCGGTTCACAGAACTGCCTTCAAAGAGTCCGTAGAAACGTGAAGAGCTGTTGGCTCCGGAGTCTTGTACAGTCATGTAAATTCTGTACAGGCTTCACCTAGGTGAAGCGTGTAATTCAAAAGAACCAGCGAAACAAACTAGCGAAATTGCGACCCCCCCCACCCCACCTCCCCGACCCCTAATCCAAACGGCGCGTGGCTATGGTCAACGTCATCAGACTGTAGCAGTATGAGGATTGGTTCCAGAGGCTCTACAACGTAGCGCCTAACAACATGTAACAACCGCAACACCTCCTTACATCTTCATTTTTCTTTTCCTCTTTCTTCTCTTTTCCTTATCTCTACCCTCTTCTGTATTTTCTTTCCTTTAAATGCGCCAGTAAATGCGATGAAAAAACACCCCATTCTCTGGCTTTCGCAGCGAGGAAAGTTCGGTTGGTAGAAGCTCTGTAACCCTTTTTCTTGCGTAATCACAATTTTTATTTCAGCAGCCTTCCCCTTTCCCTCCACTTCTCACGTGATGCGTGTGAAATGGTTGAGAAGATGCCGAATGAGGAAACGAAGATGAAGCTTGTTGATACTCTGCGAACCGTTACGGCTGGAAAAGTAATTTTTCTATCGGATCAACACTTTTGTCATTTTCTCTTTAGTTTTTGTATTACTTTTAGACGTTTTTCTAATTACATTGTTACTTTGTGTAACCAGACTTCTGGAGAATATGGAGAATTTTTTTATTGCAGATCTATGTAGAAGTGGAAAGGGCTCGTCTCACATCTCTTGTCGTGAAGAAAATGGAAGCAGAAGGTAAATTTGAGGAAGCAGCGAATCTTATCCTGGAGCTGCAGGTTGAAACATACGGATTCGATGGAGATCAAAGAGAAGGTTAGCTTGGAAAGTATCATATTTCTGAAATATTTACTTTTTCTTTCCTGGGCTTTTTTCTTTGAGTTTGATTGGATCCCCTTGAGCAGGCCCAGCTATTATCCGTTTAGGTCGAGTTCCTTCTGGAACAAATGCGACTGTCAGTTGCACGAGGCGATTATATCAGAGCGGGAATTATTTCGAACAAAATCAGTACAAAGTTCTTCAACAGCGATAAAGAAGACGTCAGTTCATATGAACTTTTTCTCTAGAAAACCCCTCTCTTTGGTAGTTCGTCTTGAGGAAGTGGTATTTTTCAGGTTCAAGACTTGAAAATTCGTTTCTACAATTTGATGATTACTATTGGACTTCAAGACTCGAAATACTTGGATGTTTGTAGACATTATAGGTAGGTTTTTTCCATCTGAATTATTGAGCAGTATCAGACGGTGAGGCGGAGGTGGTGAAGTGGAAAGTGGGAAGCTTACCATGCGAGCGGTCCTGGGTTCAGATCTCGGATCGACTTCTGCCCAGGGCAGTCAAGCCTTCTACATTCCGGGGAAGGTAAATCCATACCAGACTCGTCAAGGAGGTCAGCAACACTGACCTGTATATCGGCTGCCCCTACAAGTCATTTTATAAGCTACATTGCATTTAGCGGTCCGCAACCATTCTGATTAGAAGTAGAATGCTTATCAAATCCGGAAAAGGATCGATTATTTCGAAGACCCACTCCTTAACCTTTATGCGGCTGCTTTGCGAATGGACTAGTGTCCGTAATTCGAGAGAATCTGGCATTCACCCGGCTTACTCATTCTCCAGATCCATAGATATACTTTCCTTCATCACAGATTCTCCTTATTCACAATCAAGAAGCATGACTTTCATTTTATGCTTCTCTTGTATGAAGCTCACTATGCGTACTTCGCTGCACTGGTGATCAAAATTTAAAATGGAGTCGCATTTACTTTCTCGGGGATACATTCGTCATCAAGTTATTCATGAGCTAACTTTGAACGCTTGACCACTTGTCTGCAAAAAGCATAAGCCTTCATAGGCTCAGTCTGGAAGCTCGAATTGCGCCCCGAAGTTTTAGATGTTTTGGATCCGCTCACCGAAAGGCGCTTGTGGCGCGTGCCGCGCAGCAGTTCCATGCGAAGCGAGAGTAATACCCCCGCCTTCAGGAAGGCAACACTTGTACCGGTGTAGTGGGCCTATCCACGGGGAAAAAAGTTCAGATCAATATCGTCTCTATTACGACAGCATTTACAGCATAAATGAATCCACGCAAAGCCCGGCGCCGTCTAGTCGCTGTTTTTGATCGTTTTGTGAGTTCAAAGACACAGTACGCTACAATACACATTGAGGTGTATTGAACTATCAGCCCCCCCAGATGTCGAGTGTCGTGGTTCCCCCCAACCGCCCAAAACATCGCCAGTGGAATGGAGATACAGGGCCGTGAAACACGCTGATTCTTCCATGCTCCGCCCACTGCCTTTTTACGGCGCAGATTCCCGCCGTTCATAACATCCGTCGTAACGCGCACTTCGGGCGTGCGGCTACGGCTTGCAAAGGAAAACTTTGCCAATCCTTTAATTGCGCATCTCATACAAGAAAACGCAATTTCCTTGATGCGGAGGTGGCAACAAAAATAAGAAGCAGTGAAATGATGACGAGGGCCAGAACTCAAGAGCAACTGCGTCTGCATCTGCAGTATCCCCCCCCCATCAAGGGCCGCGCATTCCACAAAACATGAAAATAAAAACAGCCCAAGCGTCCCACTCGTTTGTTCTAAGTATTTCTATGGCTTTGGCGCCGGATCGTAGAAATTTACAGGCCAGTTTATCTAATTTGCCTTTCCTTGATTTTTTCATTTTTGTTTTGTTTACATTTACATCGTTGTGCTTCATTTCTAGCCTGTGTCATCTTTATCTGCCGATTGTAACATGTTTTCAAGCATGAGCAACACTTAATTTTTATTCGCATCAAAAGAGGAATTGCACGTCTTGCTTGTAATTAACTAACGAGAGTATGCCCGTTTTTATTTTCATGTTTTGTGGGAATGCGCGGCCTCTGATGGATACTGCAGATGCAGCCGAGTTGCTCTTGAGTTCTGCCCTCGTCATCGTACATTTTCTGTTGCTTTTATAGTTAGCACCTCCAATGTTATCCGCATCACGGAAATTTGGCGTTTCCCCTTGTAATTTGAACGCCGCAATTAATGACCTTGGCAAGTGCCAAAGAGGGCCGCACGCGACAGGCCGCCTTTCGACGGGCTGTTACTGAACGACGGTAAATCTGCCGCCGTAAAAAGCAGTGGAGCATGGAGAAAATTTACAACAAAATATTCACGGCCGTATCTCCATTCCCGCTATTTATTGGGCGGGGACCACCGACACATCGACATCTGGGGCTGATACTCACACACCCTCACTGTGTCTGAGCGTACTAATGTGTCGTTAAATGGTCTGATAGGATTTACCAGGGTCTCATTTGTATTTATTTGTGTTCAGATCGGCGCCCCGTGTTCCAGAGCGCTTTTCGATACTCCCAAGATTGCAGCAGACACTGAGAAGTCTCGATTAGTGGGTGTTTCTGTGATTATTTCTGTTTTTTACCCTCTTCGGTCTGCTCTTGATGGAAATTTTGATGCTGACAAATAAATTTTTTACTTGCAGGTCTTGAAATGTGCTGTAATTTACTGCCTGTTAGCGCCACATACAAATGAGCAGTGGGATCTTCTTAATCGTATATCCTTGCTAAGAGAATTGGAACTCGTTCCTGAGTATAGGGTGAGTGTATTTTTGGATTTCTTCAGACCAGCCAAATCGGTTTTTTTTGTATATTTTGGGTATTTTACCCTATTGATTTACTTGTTTTGCATCGAGGCGGAGGTGGTGTAGTGGCAAGCGGCACGCTTAACACGGGAGCTGTCTGGGATCGAATCCGAGACGAGCTCCCACCCAGGCCAACCAAGGCTTCCACCTTCCGGCGACGGCGATTTAGTACCAGATTCGACTAGATTATCCTTTATCTCTTATTTTGTCGCAAACTTGTTTGGATTTTTATGCATGGAAGTTGTTAGATAAACTACCTGAACCACCCACAGTTACAAGTTTATTAGTTTTTGGAGGCCTAAGTATGAGTTCTGTCGCCACGCTATTGAAAGGCATCAGAAGGGCGGGGGCACATTTAATGGGTATGGAGCGTTGCTTCCGAGGCAGATACGGTAGGCTTGGCAAGTGGGTGATGGACTAAGCATGGACCACTGCTATGATGAGCAGGACCCGCTCATCATAGCAGTGCTGCGGTGCGTCGACTCTTAAATCTCTCTTCGTCTGCGTCTCTCGATTCGAATAGTCTCTCTGTGTCTGTCTGGTCAACTCGTAAGGAAATACTCTGCTAGGGCGCGATGCTCCTGATGACTGGGAGTTACGTTCATCTTATTTGGAGGATCCTTCGAAGGATTCTTTTTCTGGAAAATGGGATTCTACGATAGATAAAGGCAACAACTCTGA